ATTTCTTACAAGTTCACATATTTGGATTATTTTGTGAATTTTTATATTCGAGTACTAACATACAGGTAGGATGATTTCTTCTTCGGATAATTGTTGGAAAGTTGTTTTTTCCCTATATGTGTTGACATGTGCATCTTCGCATAACTGCGAATCACTGTGCGTGTAATACGCAGAACGTATTACAGGACAAATATTGTTGCACAATAACTTCAGGTGTTCGATCATGCATTTGCAAATTGCTTATAGGAAAAACATGCGGAGTGTCTTTTATTCCTTGAATAGAAAACATAGATATTTGCTAGAAATTTATCGTGAATATGTGCAATGCAAACAAACACACTTCACAAATTATATAGGGTAGAGCGTGGCTCAAATCTCTGTGGGTAAAAAAGTCCATAATCAATATCTCATGAAGGTGCATTAGGTCTTAAGGCAAGTTACTGGAACGTTCTTTACAGTTTACCGAAATATTCAAGAAATGTTAAATGTTTTCAAATAAATTATTATAAATACTATAACTTCCATTATTGGTATTTTATAGACACAAATATAAAAACTTATATAAATTGGACGACGACGTTTATGTAAGCTCCGAATCTCCGAAACCGCTTAACCTATCTTTTTCATAAAATAATGAATGTGTTTTGAATCATTCAAATCGGATGGTATGTTTTCTTAAAAACTAAATTTTTTGTCTTTGTTGAATACTAATCAGCACGTTTCTCCATGAGTACGAATCGAACATTTTTTTAGTTTTTTAATTGGGTGTACATAAATAAGAATGATAATTAACGTTCAATATGAAATAAATATCAGATTGTAAAAAGATTATGTGGTTATAAGTACTTAGTTGCAATTTTTAAAATGATGAGATGAAAACGAAATAAAGTACCTAATTTCTTAATATTCTACACTTTCATAACTTCTTTCTAATAAATCACTGTAAGCGCACTTCAGAACATGAGCTTTATTTGAAATTTGTAAAATGAATTTTCTGTCGTTTAATATGTTTGACAAAAATCCTTCTGCTAATCCATATTTGAATCTTGATGAATTTAAATTTAAATTTGAAGGCAATTTGTATGTGAATGCAAAAAAAATTTGAAGAAAAAAAAATTTACTATCAAATAGGAAATTTATACATAAGCACATGGTATATTATAGAAATAGAAAAAAATTAATAACATATTAAAATTTAAATAAAAGAACTTAATAGATAGATGCAATCTTTTAGAGTTATGATTGAAATTTCTTGCACTACTTTACGGTCACAAAATATTGTTATTACATATCACAGTTTTATAAAAAGATTTGAAGACGACTTGATGAAAAGCTCAATTATTGAATTGTTTATAGAAATTAATTTGCTAATTTTCAAATATAATTGTATTCAAGTATCTACACATTATTCATTATTCAAAACATTTCTTATGTCTTTTAAATTTAATGCATATTCTTCTTATCTTTTATTTATCCAATTTCATATAATTGCACAATTTAATTTAATTTATCAAAATTGAAAAGGCTCACCACAAGGATTTCAGAATTTTAAGTAGAATTTACATGTACATATCCTCAAAATTACTATATCGAATAAAACATGGTTAATTCAATCTA